TATTTTTCTGCATATTTTTGAGATAAATTTGTTAATCCCATTTCTATGAAACATAGTAAAGCCTTATTCATATAAATCCTCTTAAATAAAACCCTGTTTACGACAGCCTTGTATGTAATTATAGAAATGACAGTCTTGTATGTAACTATGGTGAGGACAGCCTTGTATGTTACTATGGTGATGACAGTCTTGTATGTAACTATGGTGACGACAGCCTTGTATGTAACTATGGTGATGACAGCCTTGTATGTATCTATGGTGATGACAGCCTTGTATGTAACTATAGAGATGACAGCCTTGTATGTAACTATGGTGATGACAGCCTTGTATGTAACTATAGAGATGACAGTCTTGTATGTAACTATGGTGGTGACAGCCTTGTATGTTACTATGGTGATAACACACTTGTATGTAACTACAGAGATGACAACCTTTTATGTAACTTTGGTGACAAAAGTCAGTATGTAACTATAGAGATGACACCCTTTTATGTAACTATGGTGATAACACACTTGTATGTAACTACAGAGATGACAACCTTGTATGTAACTTTGGTGACAAAAACCTTGTATGTAACTATAGAGATGACACCCTTTGATGTAACTATGGTGATAACACACTTGTATGTAACTATAGAGATGACACCCTTATAGGTACCTTTGTGATACCCTTGTATGTTACTATGGTGATGACAGCCTTGTATGTAACTATGGTAATGACAGCCTTGTATGTAAACTATGGTGATGACAGCCTTGTATGTAACTATGGTGATGACACTCTTGTATGTAAACTATGGTGACGACAGCCTTGTATGTTACTATGGTGATGACAGTCTTGTATGTAAACTATGGTGACGACAGCCTTGTATGTAACTATTGTGATGACAGTCTTGTATGTTACTATGGTGATGACAGCCTTGTATGTAACTATGTTGATGACAGCCTTGTATGTAAACTATGGTGAAACTCTTGTATATGGCTATAGTAATACATTATTCTTGGTCATTTGATAGAAGAATTTTTGCACATAGTATTATACATTTATTGCCCTTGTTGTTGGGGAACATGATTCTTTGTTTCCCTAAGATTAATCTTGATTCACTAGGGTAGCATCCAAAGGAACCTGTAATTGACACAAAATATGTTTGTGCATAACAACGTACATTGTATATTTACTGCCCTTGTAGTTAAAAAATGACTGTCTCCATACAGCAGGGAGTTCAGGGGGGAAAGGGAAACACAAGGTTTTATTTTATGTCAATGATCAATATTATCCAATCAGACACACTGTTACATATATGAGGTATAATAAACATGTTTGTTCATAATGGTATAATTACTCCGGTTAGGTATGGCACAAAACTAATTATCAATGTGTTCAGATCAGGTGATAAGAGTTTTATATGAGACAGTAAAGGTACCATACTAATCACACAGGCACATGCTATCATAAATGAGCTCAGGTAAAGATTATAATGGAGCTTTCCCACAAGCAGAGCCAGTTAAGGATACATGCCACCTTACATGTATGCTTTGTGATCAGTTATCTCCCTTACAGAACCAGTTAAGGATATATGCTACCTTACACTTACATATATAACTCCATATGTTATGGTTATATTCCTTACACAAAGATTTTGTAGTATAGTTTATGTGAGAGAAAAAAAAATCGAAATACTTTTCCAAGACATCAAAATCCTCTTGCCCAACTCAAATTCTACCTTCACCATTTTTAACAAAATAATGTACTTTTCTTTTAGCACTTGCACAAAACCAACAAATGATTGCCCTGGGTGTGGAGCAAGTACATTTTCGCTCCCTTGTAGTATCATCTTTGAATAAAGATTTCCTGTGGTGTTAGAAATTCAAAAATTATCTTGCTGGCTTGTGTGAACAATGCAAACATCCTGATGTCCCCTTTAACTTAACGAAAAATTTGACCTCAATCAATAAGAATTAAATCAACTCAAAGCAGCATTAATAAAACATGTTTCACATCGTAGAACTCTTTTGAACAGGAGATACAAATGTTGTTAGGTAGCATACAACCTTAAATTAACAGAATCTGAAGTTGTTTTTCTCCAAAACAGTTTGAACCTGCATGCAACACTCGACTAAGTCAGGAAGAAAATATTCTCCATTCCTTGCTTACAAAATCAGATACATTGTATAAACATTGCAAAAAAACCTACAAAAATAAGTAGACATATAACATTTTAAAAATATAATAGAACTATTGTGTTATAAAATATCAAAATTTAGTGTTTTTTTTACAAAATAATAAAATTATTGTGCTTTTACAAAATAACGAAATTATTGTGCTTTTTTACAAAAATTAAATAATTGTAAGTTATATTTAACAACAGAATATGAAAATGTATAACAACAATGGAATGGTATGTTTAACAAACATAAATAACATGGGATGCTAATTTAACAAATACATAAAACAAAGGAATATTGTACAGTATAATTTTATGCTACGCATAATTTGTCTGATAAAGGTTTGGCCTTATAAAGTGGAGGTTGATGACTAAATTGTAGGACACCATGGAATAGTTAACAAAAACAACAAAAAACAAACACAGGTAATATGACATTCCATGTCAAGAACAATCCCCAAGCTGTCCTAAATATCTACTTTTTACACCACAACATCACAATCATAAACTTTGTTTATTTTACAACAATTATGAAACAAGTTATTACAACTTATAACTGTCACTCTTGTTGGTCCAGGAGTAAGCACGCAGGAGGTTTAATGTGGGAGAAAACTGGAGTACCCAGAGAAAACCCACGTGGTCGGGCAGGTGACCCTAAACCTTTCCACATCTGATCAGACATCACATTTGATAGATATAACTACTGTATACATGAAGTCGAATTTTTTTTGCTGTATTCTGTCGGGAATTTATTCACAGTGGTTCATTTCGCCCATCACAGTTTCTGTAAGTCTATTTCAGACTTTTTTTTTTTTTTTTAATTTTAACTGTTAACCTTTTTTATATGGTGAACTTCTTTCCAAACGATGTTTTGACCTAGTAACCTCAGCTCAATATTATATTATATGATATTACGGATGTGTGAAACGTGGATGTTATAGCGATGATCTCAAAATCTTCACAAGGGTTTTAATTTTGCAATTTTAACACATTCATGAAATTCGGGAAATTAAAACCCTTTTGAATATTAGCAACTTGACAGTATGTAATGGACAAGTAACCTGTTTATCGTGTGAATATCCGGGCCATGTTTATCTTGCTAACATCCGGGCCATGTTTATCCTGCTAACATCCAGGCCATGTTTATCGTGCTAACATCCGAGCCATGTTTGTCGTGCTAACATCCGGGCCATGTTTATCGTGCTAACATCCGGGCCAACAAGAGTGATGATTAATAACTGTTTCATAATTGTTGTAAAATAAAAAAGTTTATATTTATATCTTTATATATTCCCCCTAGTAAGTTCGTGCCTGTATTGTAAACAAAGAAATAAGTTGACTGTCTGATGTTCTGTGTGTTAGGGGTGTTTATATATAGCTTCCTAGGAGAGCTTGTCGACGGTTCTAAACAGGTTATGTCAGCCTTAAGTGAAACATATTATTTCACCGTCACAATAATATGGTTAGTCAGATCCCACTAGATATTATATCATTATGATTCTCATAATATTAACCCTCAGTTAGTACAATTATATTGTCACCAAATAAAATAACAAAATACAATGTAACGTAAAGATGAAATAACAAAAAAAACAAAGATAACAGATCTATATAAAAAAAACACTCATGTGCGTTCCACAGAAAAACAACCTTGAGTGATACTCTTTGATTAACTATGTTCTTAATCCAATTATTCTTAGTTTTATCAGGTAACAAGCCATTTGGATTGATATGTCTCGCCTGTTCCTGGCTTTGACCATCAATGCTCATGTCAAGTTTGGTTGGTGTAGCACTTATAGTTTCAGAGAAACTAACTTAAACGCAAAAACTTAATGTTGATGGGGATGTTGACAAAGTCAATGGACCATGAAAAGTAGGCCGCATCCAGCATTTGATGCATGGGTTGAGTTGTACTACCTAAGAAGCATCTATGTCTAGCACTTATACTTTCAGTGTAATTAAGTTAAACGCAAAACCTTAATGTCGACGCCGTCTCTGTGGCCAGAAAAGCAACACCTTTGTCACACTTCCACTTTTTCGTGTTGGCGTGACAAAAATTACATGATAACTAAACTTCAATCTTATCCTGTGTGGGAACCAAATTGCCTGGTACTTGATACCCAAGGACTAGACTAAGTGGCAGAATGCTAACATATCACCAGTCCCTCTGACTGCCTGCAGTATCCGAGTGCTATGTGGAGTATATAGTCGCTATGATTTTTGACAGCTGTCTTTACTGATTCGGCCCACTGTGGCTTGGTGAGCTGTTTTCAGCGGTTTAGAGTCGAGACACCGGTCATTTGACTCTCTGATTGACAAATGAAACAGACATTTTGGAAAGCTCGCAAAATTTGTTTTCAATAACAGTTTGTGTTCAAAACAAACTTAGCATTTACTTGATAGCCTGTTTCCGTGGAGTCAAACTGATGAGGTTTGGTCCAGTGACTTTGTGGACTGTATATTTTACACAACACCATTACAAGTAAACAGTCCAAACTAACTCTACCATATGGGTAACAATTTTGATGGTGATGGAATGGTCCTACAACATTTTCAGATCCACTGTGTGATATCGTAGTTTTATACAGTTTCAAAATTAGTTTTACTTGGGACGCAAAGTACAGCATGAACAATAAATGCATGCAACAGTAAATTTTAAATATATATTGTCCAATGTATATATTGACGCAAATATCATAGTAAAGTTACCACGATTCTAATTCATATCAGCTTAAACTACAGATGAAAACAATAATTTGAGATTATTTGTGTGCAGTTTTTGAGAAGTTTGGGTAACTTGAGAAGTTTGGGTAACTTGAGAAGTTTGGGTAACTTGAGAAGTTTGGGTAACTTGAGAAGTTTGGGTAACTACGCTGTAGACTGTGACATCAATAACATCACAGTGAGATCACATTATGGTTTATGACATCATTAAGGGTCAGTCAAGTCATGAACATCCCCCATTTTGGCTTGCTATGAGAGAAATTTGCTGATTGTGTATCAGGGTTATGCAGTCGCAAGTAATTTTGATTGACCAATCAAATGCTGTGTTACATCTCAAGTGAATTAAGATTCATGTTATAGTGATTATACTATAGTGAAAATAAGTCCTGTAATAAGAGTAAGTGCTATCAGTAAATAGATTCAGGTTTTGTAGAACAATCACCTCACCAGCTAGAAAACATTTCTTATTTAAGATTAAGTGCTTGTGACCATATCGATCCTCTATTGTCAATCCACCTGGAGCCTTGTTATCTCCTCAGGCTAATCCACCTGGAATCTGGTAATCCCCAAAAGTTAATCCACCAGACTGTATCTGCTGATGATAATTCCGACTGGATCAATGCCCCAATGTTAATCCACCTGGAATCTGGTAATCCCCAAAAGTTAATCCACCTGACTGTATCTGCTGATGATAATTCCGACTGGATCAATGCCCCAATGTTAATCCACCTGGAATCTGGTAATCCCCAAAAGTTAATCCACCTGACTGTATCTGCTGATGATAATTCCGACTGGATCAATGCCCCAATGTTAATCCACCTGGAATCTGGTAATCCCCAAAAGTTAATCCACCTGACTGTATCTGCTGATGATAATTCCGACTGGATCAATGCCCCAATGTTAATCCATCTGGATCCACCGTTCTATTGACTTCCTCAGCGCTTCCACCCATCTGAAAGATAACGTCAATTTGTCAATGATTCTCTTGAGGGTTTGGACATTGTTGCTCACACTGTGCAGACAACATTGAGTAAACTATTCTATGAAACTTCATACAAGTGTTAGGTGTGAAGAAGCTAAAACTAGTCATTATTTAAAACCATCATCAATGCTCTTGCACATTTACTGTCTGTCAGACTTATAAGTAGCAGGAATTAAACAACATTAAATTTCAAGGTTAAGGTCAAGGTCGATTTTGCTATTTTTGAAAACGTTCTTATTTCTCTAGCACCTGAACTGTCTGTCAGACTTCTAAGTACCCGGAATCAAACAATCTAGAATATCAAGTTCAAAACAGTAAGGTCAAGATCGAGGTTGATGTTGCTGATTTTGAAAATATTATTTATTATTCCTCTTGCAACTTTATTGTACATCAGACTCCTTAGGTACCAGGAATTAGAAGGTCAAGTTCAAGATGGTAAGGTCACTTTTATATAGAAAATATTTGTAAATGCTAAAGATTTTTTTTTCAATTAAAACTTTGTCTTGCTCTAAGGACTTTACCTTCTAAGATAGTCATGTACATGAAACTTTACAAACAAGAGGCCCATGGGCCTTAACGGTCACCTGATATATTTATACAGAGAGTTGATTTTGTTTTTAACATGAACAGAAATATTATTCAAAGTGACAAAAAACAATAAAAACACNCATTTTTGTTGACCTTTGTCCATGGAAGGTCCCTGCAAAATTTCATTGAAATTGGTTCAGGGGTTTTGGAGAAGAAGTCGAAAATGTAAATTGTTTACGGACGCACGACGGACGGCGGACGACGACGGACAAAAGGCGATCGCAATAGGTCACTTGAGACTTTGTCTCAGGTGACCTAAAAAGGTAAGTACAGAGATACCTTGAATAAGGTACTGTATATACCAGAGAATTTGGCTGCAGTCTAACATTCGCCTTTTTCACCCTCAGTATTAAGTAAGGGCAATTTTATCTTATCATTAGAAGCCAATATAATAAACATAGCTATCAAATCTGAAGGTGAAATTAACTCTGGGCGAAAACTGATTTTACTTTATTAAATGTTGAATGCAATGTTTTACCTAAGTTTGTCCGTCTCGTTCTCGGCCACAAAGTAGAATGTTCTCATCTGTGTTTCTGGAGGCTGGAGAACGAAGCTAAATGCCTTTACAGGTATCCCTGTCGTATCCACTCGGTATCCATGGAGATGGGCCATACCTGTCCAATCAAGTAGAACATTTTAAATCTAACTCAGACTGTCAAAAAAAGTAAGTTGTAGCTTTACATGACTGAAAGATAGCTTTATATGGCTGGAGTATAGGGTGGCTTTACATGACTGATCAATTAACGTAAATACTCGTGCAAAATGTTGGCGCTTTGACTCTCAAACTGACCGCAGTGTGGAAGTTATTACATTGGCAATGGCTGGTTATGAAATCTATAAACTGTATATATTTATGATCTACATAATCCATAAATACACATTTGCGTGGAGATATTTTTGTCCTTATACACTTATGTACACCAGCATCCCCACATTAAGAGTATTTGCAATTTGCGCTGTTTGGTTGAAGATTGGCCATTTTGAAGGAAATTAACTTAATGTTCTTCAATTTTCGAAAGCCTCCACATGCAACAAACAAATAAATATTTGAAATGCTTAAACATTGTCACACCAGTGTTCATTCCTAGAAAGGGATTTTGGCTGTCACACGCGGTTGCTTTCATTTCTGCATGCTTACTGTCGAAAAAACCTATATTTTGGCTATTTCTGCATAGCAACGCGAATTTGTTGCTAGGGTAGGGCATCTATGCATGCGCATTGGAAAAAATGTTCAGCGAGGAAGAAAGCCCGGATTATCCAATATGATGTTTATAACAGAAATTGGTAAATAACCTCAATTTGAAATTTTCACTTTTTATGAGGCCAAAAATGACCAATAACGCCCCAAGTCGTTTTGGTGGGAAACAATGCCTCGCAGTGTGTCACTAATTAGGAAATATACATCCACCCTCTGTCAGGTGCTTATATGTATGTTATGTCACATAAAATCAATTGATTGACATCATGTTTTATGATCAGAGGCAAATTTCACAAAGACATTTTGAAAGGTCATACATTTTACACAGATTTTTACATTTCTTATTTTCTGATGTAAAATTGTTACAGGTATACATATTTTCACGAATGTCAATATTTTTTTAAAAAGAATATTAGCTGAAAGATTTGTTAATTTGTTGTTGGGTTCGTCCTCGATACTCCAGGGGTTACGCTCACTCTCTACATCCCTCCAATAGGTTATAATAAAATTAAAGGTACACAGGTAGCCATTTGATTGGGTAAATAAACGGACCAATCGATACGCTGATACCTGTCCTCTGACCAATCGCTACGCTGATACCTGTCCTCTGACCAATCGCTACGCTGATACCTGTCCTTAGAAAATTACAAAGGAGCAATATCCGATTTCAAAGCCAGTCAATTTTACCGTTACGCAACCAACAGATTCATTTAATGTACGCCAAAAGATCAAACTAGTCTTCTCCTCTCATCCCCAAGGTGGCGCAATTTTGTCCTGACATATTCCAAGGGTGCAGAGAGCATACAGGCGGGCAAACTTTGCCTTTACCTTGAGCGTTCTGAGAGTTCATGGTCTTGTAGTAATACAGACAGGCATCCTTGAGGACACAGTATCGTTTGTTCCAGTTCTTCATGGCTTTGTTACTCTTACGCAAGTATCCAGTACACTCTGCACGCCTGACCTCAAGGGCAGGTAACCCAACATTGTGACTCGTTATATCCATCCAGGAGTCCTTCTGTACAGGGTGAGAACAAAACAAATCAAGACAAAAATAATGACATATTTTCTAAAAAACATATTGAGAAACTGCATCATGCTTGTTTAATGGAAACATTTAAATATTGACCTATTAAAAATGATAATTAAGTGTTGATTAATTTGAAAAAATAGCTCCTAAATGTGAAGTCTGAGGTTTCAAACCAGTCTTTAAAGGTTTTTTATGTTACATTTTATACTGATAATATCTGTTTATTTTAATGTATTGTTCAACACTCTTTTTAACAAGAATTTGTTTGAGAGTTCATACGACTCTGACAGAACATGGTTCTTCAGATTTTATATTTTTTACAAGAAAGTCAGTCATACCTTACATAGATTGGGGATTACTGATTTCTGACCGTCCAGATCTACTTACCCTTTTCTTAGAGGCCATGGCTGCTTCATTCATTGCACACACCCATCTGTCAGAAATGAATATCACATGATAACATTTCTAAATATAGAAGTCACATGACATAAAAAGAGTACAAAAATAGAAATTGTTGTATGTGACTACTGTCAAAAAACAGACAGTTTGACGAGTTAAAATATAGTTAACATTAAGAAAATAATTGAAGTGATGAACAGATTTAAAGACTTGTATATTAAAAGTCAGGCAGGGATGTAAATGTTTTTTTCAATAGAAGACTTGATCAACATACAAGTTAAAAATGTTTTCGTTGTGAATTACCTGGCCATTTCCTCACGAGTGTCCACATAGAAATAGTAGGTCTTGGCGCCATATTTCTCAGCCTTGAAGCAATGTGCCTTGCTTGTGTCTGTGTGTTTTGACACGGTGTAGTTGAGCAGTGGTAGGGCCCCTAGTGGGTCAGTACAGTCCTGTAAAACCAAACACATCTTACTTCATTCTCATGTAACAGGAGAAAGAGAAATGTACGGCTAGACCGGGGTTCAAACCCAGGACCCTACAAACTCTAGACGGACGCTCTACCAATTGAGCTACCTGGTCACCAGTAGTCGACCTAGTCCAGTTCCACTACATTCCTCCCTCCTTTTTCTAAGTCATTGCCCCCAAAGACAAAACTATTAACAACTCAGGTTTGGATATCCCCTTGCTAAGCATTAATTTCACCCAGTGCATGAAACAAGGGTTGGTAAGCTCGCCAACTTTGTAACAGGTGAAAGAGAAATCGCCAACTTTGTAACAGGTGAAAGAGAAATACCACAGATAAACCCTGGATGAGCGCTCTACCTATTGAGCTACCAGGTCACTGACGATCGACCCAGTCCAGTCCCACTAAACTAACAACAAACACTTGTTACTTCATTTTAACATTAAACATATTTTATTTCATTCTAGCAGCAAAGTTTTTCTTTGTTTTATTTTTCAAGTTATAAATGGAATATTCATGTTGAGAACATAATCAATACGATTATCATTTACTAGATAAAAAATATATAGAGCTACAAATTTCACTTTTTTGACATTTTTTATAATGTAAAAGATGCCAGCCTGATAAAATCTCTAAGGGGAGATAACTCCTGTGGACACTCACCTGATCATTCTTGTAGTAATACAGACAGTTATCTTTCCTGAGCAGGAAGTATCTCTTCTTCCAGTTTCGTACAAATGATGAATTGCTAAGTTTGTGCATGAAACCGGATACCTTTGGAGACTGAAGATCTCGTACCAAGCCCACATCACTAGAGGCCACTTCTAGTGACACTTGGAGTGAACCTATGAAATGCAAAGATGTGTCAATTAAATTTAAAGTTTGAGAATTAATTTATATTAGTGACTGCGCTTTTTAGATCCCTCAATCAGTTGTATTTTTCTACTGATGAAAAATGACTTTTGAGTAAATCAACGAAAAATTGAAACACCTGTTTTATTTCACATCTCTTTATGATCCCAGTAAAGTCTTAAATAGCATAAGGCAAAAACACTAAATTAAGAAATTTAGAAGTTAGCAGTTTTCTTGTGCATACCTAATTCAGAGATTTGTGGGAGTATTTTTGGGGTATTTGATTCAAATATTTGTAAGAGTGTTCTGGTTTACTTGATTTAGAGATTTGTAGGATTATTCTTAGGCATAATTGATTCTCAGATTTGATAAGAAATTTGTAGGAGTTGTTTTGGGACTTATTTGATTCAGAGACACATAGTAATACTGTTTTAAAGGAATGTTCGGGGCATTCATCTTATAAAGCTTTCAGTTTATACAGTGTTCTGGGAGTATTTAATTCCTAATTTACTTATAGATCTGACAGTAAAGAACATGTTAGATTTCTTTTGTATACTGGATGTGAGACAATATAATCCTATAATCACTGTGACTTTATATGGGACACACAATCATACCATGTTACATGTACTTACTCTCCTGTATAAGGGAGACAATCTCACCATGTTACTTGTACTTTCTCTCCTGTATAAGGGAGACAATCTCAGCATGTTACTTGTACTTACTCTCCTGAATAAGGCAGACAATCTCACCATGTTACTTGTACTTACTCTCCTGAATAAGGGAGACAATCTCATCATGAGTTGCCTGTAACACGTTCACCTGGTTGACACTGAGGATAATTTGACCTTTTTTGACCCCGGCCTTCTCTGCTGGACTCCCTGTAGTGAAGCCAAAAATCTCAAAATTACAAAGGTCAAGCTTGACCAGTAACTTTGAACATGTATCTGTCTTAGATCTATATAATCCTCAGAACCATTTTAGCATTTTTTGCCAGAAAATATTTACTAGTAACAAACTATTATAGAAAACTGTCATTTTTTTTTCAGAAATATAATGAAATGTAAAGTTTGATGCAAGAAAATATTAACCAAGTTCCATCTGGCTGTTTGTACATTCTTTTCTTAACCTAAATTTTATAAATTATTGAAATATTATTTCATAGTAAACATAAACAACAGAACATCTTGGATATTTAAGTTTGGAGGTAAAAACAAATGTCAAAGGTCATTGAGGTAAGAAATGAACATCTGAATGTTACCCGGATCAACGGAGGTAATGACAGCAGGGTGACTATCCAGGATGTGGAGTCCGAGGTCAGGGGTCGCCGCCGTCCTATTTATCACCAGATGGTTCTCATGGTCTGTAGTAGGACAAATAATAGTAAATTACTTCAGATTTAGGATTTAATAGGATTTAATTGGATAGATGATGGACGCAGGCAATTAATTGCCTCTATGTCCATATCATATAATATAACAATTTTAATGTATTTAAATTTAATTTTAAATTTAAATCACTCCCGTTGTTAGATTCGTAGCTAGTTAGGTGATTAAATTTCAGTTCAAGATGTTTCAATGATTGTCCAAACTAATTTCAAAGTCTCTCGATGTTGTAGCCTGTATGACCGCCTAGGGAAGGCTGTTCCATATATCAACAGTTCTGAAGCCAAATGAATGTTTCCTAATCTATAATTCACAATGTTTTTTCTATATTTTTTGTGATATATCATACGATCAGTATGTTGGTACATATATGTAGTAGCAGAGTTGACAGCTAAACTAAACTGCTGTAAAATGGTAAATATTGTGTGGTAGTTTATAAAAGGTAATTTTGAATATGATTTTTACACAATTTCAAATTTAATTTATTCTTTGGGAAAAGAAAGTTCATGAAGTACTTGAGTTATCATGAAAACTGAGAGTTTACCATAGAATTTAGCAGACAATCTATGATACTCCTGTTGACTGTCACTGCGTTGCACAAAACATTTTCTTCGGAACTGGTACTCCCGTTTAAACTCGCTCTCTGACCGAGTGGTGGTTGTGGAGTCTGACCGCTTGTGGAACCGACCTTCCTTGTAAGACATGCCCTCCACAAACACTTCATCTAAGAAATATTCAATCATCATTTCGAAAAAACAATATTATTTGAATATTTCTTATACATTTATGAAAATTCATTTAACATTTGAGTTTAACAGTCAAGAAAAGTATGCGATGTACATGGGCATCCTGTATGTGTAACTACATCTTATGCAAAAACTTAAATGCAAAACCATTCAAGATTAAATATTTTGTGACAATTACTCTAATGAATCAAATGTAAGCAAGCAAATTTGTGGAATGTATATCCCCTGCTTGCAGGACATATTGTAGGTTACCATTATTGAGGTTAGGTTTAAACATGCGAGTATCGTGCTGTTGAGACATATTGTATAGCTTGAAACTTGACGAAGAAAAAAAACCCGCTATACCTCATTGATTATCCATAAATATGCACAAATCACATCGGTTGGCAAACTTAGCATGAGTTGAATATGCATAAGGAATTTGGTTGAAACATCTTAACAATATCTACAGCAACACGTACTAATTGTAATGGTCCCCCATTACAGATGTTCCCCCAAACTGCCCCCATAGTCGCAAAGATGCATCAGAAAAGGATCACATTGCCATAGAACACCTACAATGTACATAATAAATTTCTAAATTGCAACCAATCAGAATCATCTGTGTAGTTGCTATGGCAACGAAAAGTATGTGATTGATTTTGCAGTCCCCTAATACCCCTATATATCAATTTTCATAAAATCAAAAAATATCTAAATTCCTACCAATCAGAAGCTTCCATGTGGTTGCTATGTCAACGAAACTTATGCGGTTTTATTCGCAGTCCCTTAATACGCCCAGATATTAATTTTCATCAAAATCGAACAATATCTAAATTTGGACCAATCAGAAGCCTCGGTGTGGTTGCTATAGTAACGAAACTAATGCTGTTTTATTCGCAGTCCCCTAATATCATATATACAAATTTTCATCAAAATCTAACAAGATCTAAATTTCAACCAATCAGAAGCCTCTGTGTGGTTGCTATGACAACAAAACCTATGCGGTTGAATTTGCAGTCCTGTAATATCCCTATGCACCAATTTTCATCAAAATTGAACCAAGTTTGAAGAAAATCGGTTAACATTTGTTGTAGTTAATGCACGGAAACGAAGCGTGGCAGATAATGACATTTTTTGTTATTCAAGGGGCCATTAATCCGCCAAATTGGGTCCGCCGAAAGTGGTCATCGAACTTGGCCGAGCCCTTGAGGCATTTAACCCTGTGACCAAGTTTGAAGAAAATCGGTTGGCATTTGTGGTAGTTATTGCACAGAGAAAAAGCATGACCGACAGACTGATGGACAGACAGACAGACAGACCCAAATTAATATCCTGGGGATAATTAATATATATATACTGATATTCTGAGCACAATTAGGGACTTCTAATAAGAATTGTCATCTACGTAAGAAAAGTGAAAAGTACCTCAAATAAGCGATACATGTACTGAAAATAAACCAATTTGCATAGTCAAATTTTAAGGTTGTTCAAAATTATTTTCTCTTACCCTGGACAGGTGTATCCACACTTTTACCAGTGTGAGATATCCTTGTCTCTTACCCTGGACAGGTGTATCCACACTTTTACCAGTGTAAGATATCCTTGTCTCTTACCCTGGACAGGTGTATCCACACTTTTACCAGTGTGAGATATCCTTGTCTCTTACCCTGGCCAGGTGTATCCGCACTTTTACCGGTGTGAGATTTCCTTGTCTCAAGGATTGAGTCGGGGGGATTCCCCTATTCATAACAATGGCATGACGTCACTTCAACAATACAATGATGTCACGTCAACCCTGAATTTAGCATGTAACATTATCATTACATTGTGTATATGTACACAATGGTAAAACAGGGTAAGAGAAAAGAATCATTCACCCCTTGTGGGCGAGATAGGGGAATCTCAACCCTCGGGGAAAGATTATCTCAACCCTCAGGGAAAGATTTTTAAGTTGCCAAACACTCAGCAAAGCCTCGTGTTTGGCAACTTAAGAATCTTCCCCCTCGGGTTGAGATTCTCCTATCTCACCCCCCAAGGGGTTGAAAGATTCTATTAGTCCCGTCTCTGACAGATGTGTAGGATTTGCCTAAACTTTAAACTTGTGCTTTGGGAATATCTGGGAATGTTTATGCTGGATGGAAATGTTGATGTCCTACCCCCAAGGATCTGACAAGCAGTACCTGGTGAGAACAGCTGTACCCTGGGTATCTAATGGGTGTCAGTGTGACTGTCCTGTTCTCTGTGGATACTTACCTTTACTGTCCTGATGAATGGGTTGAGCATTGCTTTGTGACTGGGTTACAGGATCTGCCTCGTCCTCTGGGGCGGGGCCAGTCTCATCCGGAGGTTCAGAACCAATATTAGCTTCATCCACGGTCTGTAATGTGGGTGGGGCTGGGGAGCTTGATCGTGAAGAAGCGTCTCCCTCAGCAATCTGTATCCAGCATGATTTACGATAACTCTCATTGTAGATCCCTGTATAAGATATAATCATGTCAGTTAAGATATTCTTCAAAACTCAATTCAATACAGTAACTGCGACAGTTGTAGGCATGGTAGTCTAGTGGTAGGGCACCGGGCTTGTGACCGAAAGGTTGCGGGTTCGAGTCACGGCACGGTACTGTGTTGTATCTTTGAGCAAGATACTTTACTCCGCTTGTTCCTGTATACTCAGCTGTAAATGAGTATGTGGTTGGGCAGTGCTAGAATTGTTGAATGCTAGCTGTTAGCGCCGAAATGGCAGCTTGGACTGTATATATATATATGCTCCCCAGGAAGTTAAGAAAGATATTGGCTGGTTGCAACGGCCCTATAACCTATGATAATAATTTGTGAACCGCTTTGAGACGACCTACGAACTAGGTTGTGATAAAGCGGTATATAAGAACCTCAAATTATTATAATCACTATTATTTTCCCCTGTGACCTTGTAAGTAGATATAGGTCAAGGTCATTTTCCTTCACAAACTTTGTTGGCTCTATCCCAAGAAGCTACCAGCCAAATCTTATGAATCTATTCAATTTGGTTCTTCAGAACAAATCGTTTGAAATGCTGTTGACCTCTGTGACCTTTAAAGTAGATTGACGTCATTTTCATTTGCAAACTTTGGCGAACTCTATCCCAAGAAGCCACCAGCTGAATATTATGATTCTTTCGATTATTCAGAAGAGGTCATTTGATGTTTTTGACATATTTGACGTCTGTAACCCTGAAAGTAGGTCAAGGTCATTTTCATTCGCAAACTATGTTGGGCTCTATCTAAAGAAGTCATCAGCCAAATATGAAGATTCTATACCTTTCATTTCTTCAGAAGAAGTCACTTGAAGTGTTTTACATATTTGACCCCTGTGGCCTTGAAAGTGGGTCAAGGTCATTTTTGTTCTTAAACTTTGTCAGGCTCTATCCCAGGAAGCCACCAGTCAAATATGAAGAATTTATACCTTTCAGTTCTCCAGAAGAAGATGTTTGAAGAGTTTGACATATTTGACCGCTGTGACCTTGAAAGTAGGTGAAGGTCATTTTCGTTCTCAAACTTTGTTGGGCTCTATCCCAGGAAACCACTAGCCAAATATAAAGATTCTATACCTTTTAGTTCTTCAGAAGTCGTTTTAAGCGTTTGACACATTTTACCCATGTGGTCAAGGTCATTTTTGTTCTCAAACTTTGTCGGACTCCTACCAACAAAGCTTTTAGCCAAATATCATGTTCTTCAGAAAAAGTTGTTGAAAGGAAAAGTTGATGGACGACGACAGATGACGGACAGACGGACGATGGACAGATGGGCGCTGCACCATGACATAAGCTCACTTGCCCTTCGGGCAGGTGAGCTAAAAACCAACAACAATAAAAGCAAACTCACCGCTTGTGGTTTAGTAATTAAAAACATGATTTTTTTGCAGAATGTCTTAATCTTGAAATAACTTCTTGGGTTTTTACTCATTGAAAATTATCCAAGGACAGGTAGATCTTGAAATTAGTACATGTATATTCATTTTTTCCGCCAGGGGATGGGTTGGAGGGCTTCTGCCCCCTGGACCCCCTACTAGGGCCTTCCCCTGGACCCACTCCTTAATGAATCCACTTCGAGCAAGAGATAGCTTTACCACAGGTCTTGCATAAACAATATATGGATTTTGTGGTAAATTTTGATATATTTTGACAAACTACTGCATATACTAAAACAGAAATATGTAAAAAGTTTAACAAGACAGAATTTTGTTTAGTCAAAACCCTTGATGATCATGCCTCGCAGCCTTTTTGTATTTTCATTCTCTCTCAAAATAAAACATTAGGCTGAAATATAGACCAAGGGAAACTCTCATAGGAAATTCTATATAGATTCACAGCTTTTGAAGAAACAGCAATAGCAAGAATCATTTAAGTATGGCCAAATATGGACAGACCATAGACTACAGATAAAGGGTGATTTTAAAAGCCCACTCTCTGAAGATGGTTGGCTAAAAAAGAAATAGTCACATTATGATTAATAATGAATTTGTGTTGAACTACCACCTAACACAAAATGTTGGCATAATATAGAGATAATGCAATCCTTCAAAGGAACCTTGAACTATATTGGCAGGTGGCAAAAATATCAAAAGGTGCATTATATGGCCAGTTTCATTATACAGGTCTCTGTTATATTTTTACCTGTGTTATCAGCTATATTTACCTGTGTCATCAGATATATTTACCTGTGTCATCTGTTATATTTACCTATGTCATTTGTTATATTTACCTGTGTCATCTGTTATATTTGCCTGTGTCATCTGTTATATTTACCTGTGTCATCTAGATCTGTTATATTTATCTGTGTCATCTGTTATATTTACCTGTGTCATCTGTTAATATTATTAACCTGTGTCATCATCTGTTATATTTACCTGTGTCATTTGTTATATTTACCTGTGTCATCTGTTATATTTACCTGTGTCATCTGTTATATTTACCTGTGTCATCGTCTGATGAGTCTGCACTCTCCTCATCATTTGTAGTCGACCTTGTTCTACTTTTTTTGCGTCTGAGCGTCAGAGTTTGCTCCTGTTCTTCCACTGGTCTAGCGTTTCCTATGGTCTCCTGTGTATCGTCTATCGCCTCACTACGACTAAGACTTGGTCGCACCTTCACAGGACTTGATTGGCCCTCCTCCTGAGAAGGGTGAGAATCCACAGGTTCTGTTTCAACCATGCTACTGAAGTCCCAGCCACTATCAACAACGTTGTTGCCAGAGTTCACAGTGGGGTCAGAGTTCACAGTAGGGTCGGAGTTCACAGAGTCATTTCCAGATGTAGAGTTAGAAGTCAGTGATACATTGTCATTAGTCGTCAATGGATTGGAGCTCTTTATCTCCATACTGGAATTAAGCGTTGGATTTGGAAGGTCTGAATTTGAGCATGCGGCCTGGTCTTCAGCAATTAAACTTTTGTTTTCTGCAGGAGTAGGGTTCAGCATATCCTCCCCATCGGCGAGACCTTCCTGAATCTGATTAGTAGGTGAGTTGAGGACTTGGCTGGCTGTAGAACGCCTTGGTTTAGGGGCTACTGAAGGTGGGCTCCTGTGACCTTCCCTCCTGGAGCGGCTTACCGGTTCAACTGGAACACTTTGATTTGAACACATTGATTCATTTTGAGCACTAGAACTTGTGCGCTTTGGCTTAGGAGCTGGAGCTGGGGGCAACATGCCAAGAGAGTTTTTACGCAGTAGGCTGCTGACCGCTTCATTTGAGGGTTTTGGCTCTGAAAACACTTTTGACCCTGTTGTATCATTAGAATTCAGTTCAGATTCTGTGCCGAGATCCCCAAGGTCATCTTCATCATCATAATCAATATCCTTTAAAAAATGAAAAACATCACTGACAATCTGTTGTGTCCGTCGGGATGGCGTTGCGGGACCAGTGATTGACGGAGGTCGTAGCACAACCGTCTCATCTTCCTCACTGACCTTATTGTCGGTGGTCTCGGTGACCAGGTCTGTGTTTGACCGCGTTTGACCAGCAGTAGCCTCATCCCTACTGCTGGTTTTATTGTCTACATCACGTTTAGTTACCAGATTGTTATCTCCTGATTTAGGGCTATGACTGATGTTTATAACACTTTTAGAAAGTCCATTCTGTATTAATGGATTTGCTTGTGAATGTTGGGATACATGAGCAGTGGACTGTGAATGATTACCACTTTGTGAACCGTTTTCTAAGATGCCCCCATTTTGATTTGTTCTGTGACTATTTTGAACACTTTGATCACCGGTGATCTTTCCACTATTGTCTGAAGCACATTGCATTGGAATCTGTTCCCCATTATGAGGATTGATTGTTTCTTGTTCCTGAAAGTTGATGGACTCCCCTGTCTGAGGATTGATAAATTCCCCTGTTTGGGAATGGGTTGTCTCCCTTTGCTGAGGAGTGATTTTCTCCCTTGATTGATGGTCAGTGTCATTTAGAGTTAGATCACTCTCATTTTGATTGACTGTACATTTGGTTTCTGGAGAAGGGAGATAACCACGGTCAGTCAGAATTCCAGGCATACTGTTCTCTTCTCCTCCTACCTCTCCTACCTCTCCTACCACGTGTTTAGCTCCAGAGTGATCAACACAAGTAACTATAGTATATTTGCTTGATTCTTTATCGGACTGAGATTCAGCTGACGGGGTAACCTCATCATCCAAAGTCTGTGTGACAGTAGATTTTGCATTTGACTGATCAGCTTGTACAAATGTCAGGATGGTGTAGGTGTTGTTCTCTAAGAGGGGTGTTTGGTGGTGGAACTCGTTAGTATTATCTCCCCTTAGTAGTCCTGTATCACTGACAGACTTTTTTAAATGCTTGTCCAAGTTGTTGACATCTTTTCCACTTTTATCACCATACTCAGGATCATTTAAGAAACCAAACGCTTCACTGATACAGAGCGTTGGCCTTCCTCGTCTGAGATTTCCCTCCATGTAGGTTCACGCTTTCATTTAATATCTGAAATTTAAGGAAAATATTTAGTCAAATCTGGGCCCAAATCATTATAGCAATATATAAAGCTAAGTAATATATATAATGAAAACATTAGGCAATGCAAATTGTCGCATATATTTCTGTTCTGGGNCATCCAAGTTTGCTTCTGGCCAAATATTGACACCCTAGGCCTTTCGGTTATTAAGGAGAAGTTGTTTAAAGTAAAATATTGACGACGGACGACGGACGGACGACGGACGGACGGACGGACGGACGGACGGACGGACGACGGACGGACGACGGACGCCGCGCCACGGCATAAGCTCACTTGGCACTTTGTGCCAGGTGAGCTAACAAGCGAGGAAAACATAACAGGATTCAAACCTGGAACCTCTGAACTCTAGACACACGCTCTAACAGAAACGAATCACTGATCTAACTGATTCAGCTAACTGGAAAGTGGTCATACTCACTGAAGTAATCAACCAGACACACAGTAAATTAGATATCCACTACCAATTAACAAGATTTATCAGAAGGTGATCGAACCTTCAGCTAAGGCCTAGAAGTTTTATACCAGAATAAATAAATAAATTTCACCTGATATTATTAGGTATCTGGTCAATATAAGAATCAAAACACAGTTTTCTAGTATCATGCATCAATGCCACTCAATCCATTTCATTGTATAATTGTGCATGCATACATATCACCCTAGTAATATAATGGTAAAGTACTGCTTTACTGGCAAACTAGTTTTTCCAGTGATGCTGTCTAACCCTAGGACATCATGATTAGTTGAGCAACATGAAGCGTGGTCAGAGGCTGCATGGATAGGTGCCTACCGCGTATTATATTTGGTGGCAGCGGTGGGATTCTGTGGTTTCTTTGTAAGGCATGTTCCCAGTGGCTAGGGAATTTGAAGGTTCATTGGTACACAGGGAGAACCTGTGGGATTCCTGGGCCAAGTCTCGGACAAGACAGCAGAAAGGGAATAGTTTAACAAACAAGGATATGAGGGGGAAATACAGAAATGCATTCTAACCCTTGGACATGCTCGCTAGTTCAGCAAAATCGAGCGTGGTCAGTAGTTGGTTGGGGGTTGCCAACACATTACTATAACTTGCAAACACTCACACATTCCTCATATTGTTTTTCTGTTACATGTATATAAAATGTATATAAAAGACAATTTTACCACTAGCCTATATAGCTACCACTCTCTATATAAATGTCACCTGTTTCAACTACCCGTCTACCACTTCTGTAATACATGTAGGAGAAAGAAAAATGCCGGCCAGACTGGGATTCGAACCATGCAGGACCATACAAACTCTAGATTGACACTTTACCCACTGAGCTACCTGGTCAGTGGCGATTGACTCAGCCAAGTTCCGCTACTATACATTTACATTGTACATAGCTATAGCTTTAATAGTGGTGTCGATATATATATATATGACTGAGCTTAGGCCCCAGTTGGGGCTAGTGTCCCCAGGGGCTGCTACAGTAGCTGGATTGGTTGAGCTGTTGGTTTATGGAGCCAGGTAAACATAATACACACACACATACATCTTTTACCATTAAACACCTTTATGTTAAGTCTAATGAAGAGCTGCACAACACTGTGTAATGGTCAGCTCTTTGACAAAACAGTGGAATATGTAAATGTTCATGATAATTGTATTGCTAGCGACCTGCCATCTGTCTGCATCAATATATTGTAAATACCATATGCACATGTCTATATACAGTGACTTGTCATCTTAATCTAGCACTACCACTACATCGACAGACGAGGCTAGTACCTTTGGCACTATCACATATCTATAGTCACCACCTATTTTACCATAACCTGTCAACAAATAACCACATTTCTATTAAATTCCTCTAAATCAAAACAAATAGCATCGTGTCTGTTGTCTCCCTTTAGCTTTTTACTATTTTTATGGTACTGAAGTACAACAAAGTGAACAAGTATAATTATATTATACTGAGAGAGACGGACGGACATACTGTAGACCAAACATTTTCCCGTGTCATCGTGTAAACAGTTGCATGAATTGCTGTACAACATTTCGATGTATCCTATCACATTACTGCGAGTTCAGGAGACCTATTCTGTAATTACCCGACACGATAAATGCAGACGACACTAACATTGTATAAATGTCCGTGTTATTGTTTCCCAGGTTTTGTCCTTACCTCACTGACGTAGAAACTTCACCATTCCTTCACACTAACCGGAACATCATTTGTGTATTGGGATTTGACGAATCATGATCGATTATTTTTAGTGCAACTTCCTGGTTGAAAACGAGGTCACTAAACGAAGAAGGAGGTATCAGTTTTCGGTATTAGTAAACAAAATTATTTTCAGTATACGAAGAAAAAAACAAAATGATATACCACATAAACATTTAATTAAAAAGTCTAGTATTATTCTTTGGATAATATTTTATCCAGAAGGTAGCACATTGATTACGACGCATAAAACTTAACAATTTACGTTAGCAAATAATATCTCCCTGACTTATGGCGGGAGTCACAAAGTGAAAGTACACACTGCACATCTGTCATTTCAGAAAATTTTGAGGTAAGCGCGGAGTGTTCTCGTCAATTTGATGTTTGATAATTGAATTGTTATTGGAAGCCTGAGGCCCCTGCAATTAAAATAGGGACTTTGCTCTTAAGTCTTAGCTAGGTGGATGTTTCGAAACTATCAGAGGAATGCTAGTCATTTCGGTAACAGGTCGTTTCGGTAACAAGTCATAACACAAGATGTTTCGGGACTGAAACAAGTCGTTTCGGGACACTTGCAATTTTCACTTATACATTACATTTCGCTCCCGTTTCATCATCCTCGACATCATCTTCCAGTAATATACAGATACAGATACAGATTCAGGGATTGTGCTCATTTCGCTCTCTACACTCTTGGACTATATGTCTTAGCAAAAATGAAGGCACGCGGCTAGCTATTTGATTGGTGTCCGGTAAAAAAGCCTGACTAATCACTGGGCTGATACTTGTCCTTTGAAGATTACAAAGGAGCGATGCCCCACTTCAAAGCCTGTCAATTTTTACCGTTACGCGACCGCGAGATTCTTTTGATGTACATTAAAGGACCAATCTAGTCTTCTCGTCTCATCCGCAAGGTGCTGCACATTAAATTGAGCCTTCGATGTTGAGAGAGAAAGTGAGAATTGCCCATGGATATCGATTTTAACAATTTTTGCGNAGTCATTTCGGTAACAGGTTGTTTCGGTAACAAGTCATAACACAAGATGTTTCGGGACTGAAGCAAGTCGTTTCGTACAATTTTCACTTATAAATTACATTTCGCTCCCGTTTCATCATCCTCGACATCATCTTCCAGTAATATACAGATACAGATACAGATCCAGGGATTGTGCTCACTTTCTCTCTCTACACCCTTGGAATATGTCTTAGCAAAACTGAAGGCACGCGGCCAGCTATTTGATTGGTGTCAGGTTAAAAAAACACCTGACCAATCACTAAGCTGATACTTGTCCTTTGAAGAGTACAAAGGAGCGATGCCCGACTTCAAAGACTGTCAATTTTTACCGTTACGTGACCGCGAGATTCTTTTGATGTCCATCAAAGGACCAATCTAGTCTTCTGGTCTCATCCACAAGGTGGTACACATTGAGTCTTCGATTTTGTTATGACATATTCCAGGGATGTAGATAGCGAAAGTGGGCATTACCCATGGGTATTGATTTTAACAATTTTTGCTATATCAAAATTAAGTTATATTTCATGAAAGAAGTAAAACATGAAACACTTAGAATGTGTTTTAGACATGTGCATCAACTCATCAAATCCAGCAATATATTGTGAACGATGTTTTTATGTTATGTATTTGTGTCTGTGTGAACATTATATATATATGATTTATAGTACATAATTAGATTGGTGCATTACAGTGCTTAGCATTTGTACAATAAATGTGTTTTTTTTACATATAGTTAGGGAATGGTATAATTATAAACAGAAGAAAAAAAATGAAAAAACCTGAAACTACTTTTGATACTGTATGTCCTGAAATGACCCAAAAAAAGTCCTGAAACGACTTGCGTCAAGTTACTGAAACAACCTGACACCTATCAGAGCCCTGTGATATTCTTATACCTTGAAGAGAGGTACGTGTAAGTATCACCATTCCAGAAGTTTTGCCTAAGGACTAAATATGAATTAAATATTTGAAATCAATCAAATACTTGGGCAGTTTAAAAATATATCCTCCCAACCCTTGAAATTGAGCGCTATGCACGTTTGGAGCTTCAAAGTATTTTTCATCAAATACTTGAGTAGTAGTGATTATTGTCATTAGTGCCCTCAAGATGTTTTTTTCATCAAGACCTGCTTTGGTCTCCCAGCATGGGTAATAAATAGTCAGAGTTTCCTCTTGCCCTTACACCAGACTTAGACATGTCTGGTTTAAGCCCGAGTTTCCTCTGGCCCTGACACCAGACTTAGACATGTCTGGTTTAAGCCTGAGTTTCCTCTGGACCTGACACCAGACTTATACATTTTGAGAGATACAATTAACAATGTGGATGTCTGGTGTCAGAGCCAGAGAAAAGTCAGGTTAGGGAACGTAATGAATTAATAGAAGTATAAGTGTCTTGAGTTTGAGTATGTGTAACAGGAGAATGAAAAATGCATCGCATGACCAAGGTTGGAACCCGGGCCCTCCGAACTCTAGACGGACACTAGTACTCTACTAATTGAACTACCTGGTCCCTAACAACCAACCCAGTCCAGTTCCGCTACATTCCTCCCTACTTTTTCCCCTGACGACACAACTATTTACAATCCAGGTTCGGGTAATCCCCTTACCCAAAGCTATACACCAAATGCTTGAAACAAGGGTTTGTCACAGGCACCAGTGTAAAAGGAGATGGAAAAATGCATGGCCAGACTTGGGTTCGAATACGGGCCCCTCGGAACTTGTATACGGGCGCTCTACGTCGCTGACGATCAACCCAGTCCAGTTTCGCTACATATGTACAATCAAGGACTTAGATAGCAATCTTATTCTGTGGTACAGTGTTTGTCTGGTACTTTGGTCAAACCAATTAAACACAGTGACCTATAATGATGAATATTATCTTGTCTTTAAGTGCCAGCTATGCCACAAGAATTCCAGGTGCTGCGATGTTACCAGTGCTCTACATTCCAAGTACATCAGGTCAAGAAGGCGAAGAAGTGGAGCTGTAAAATGTGTGGGGAAAAACAGTCTGTGATCAAGGTAACATCAAAATACAGAACTCTTTTTCACCAATGAAATCAAATTAATTCAAGTAATTGGCAGTAACCCACTTCAAGGTCACAGGGATCAAATTTGTTTAAATATTTCAACAAAGTCTTCCAAATTAAGGGCCATTAAGACTTTGCCAGTTGCTGGCAGTGATAATTTGCTATGGTGTTCATTGAAATGAATGACCTTGACCTGATGTTAAAACCTTTGAAGCATGTCTGAATAACCAATAGGCCTGGGATGAATATATTAATGCTACATGTATTTGGTCAAGAGCCTGCTGAAGATTTGACATTTCAAGTTCACAGGATAAAATTGTATGAAACATGCGCAAACATATGGCCTTGAGTCAGTTAAGGTCACATGATTCAAATTGGTTTAGTTTTTAAACAATATCTTCTAAACAAGCAAAATATCTTCTAAACAAGCAAAACATCTTCTGAACAAGCAAAATTTCTAACCTGATAATTGACACAAAGCATGCTGGTATAAGGGATAAATCAAGGGATTTTCAAATGAATGACCTTTACCTGTAGAAAAAAAATCTGGTGTCAAATTGGTTAAAACATTCAAGCAACATCTTTTGAATCACCAAGAGGCCTAGAGTCCTGCTATTTAGCCAGTAGCTTTCAGGGATGAAGGGCTATCAAGTTTGTTCACATGAAAAACCTGGAACCACTTTCAAGGTCACAAGGTTATATTTGTTTAAACTTTTAAACCATGTCTTCTTAATAACCAAAATGCCAAGGCAGATTATATTTGGCCAGAAGGATGCTTTATGATATGGATGAATTGTCAATTTTGGTTCAAATGAAATATCTTGATATATTTTCAATGTTAAAGGAGTCAAGTTTTCGTAAAACAAAAAACAAATTTAATTAATTATTTCATAATAACCAAGAGGCCTAGGTTCATGATATTTAGCCATTAACTCATTGACCCCTGAAGACACATTTGAACCCTTCCAATTCAAAGGTTGGAATAGTTCATTATGAAATTTGAGGGGTGAATGAGTTAACATGCTGGGATGAACATGCTGGGATGGAAGACTTTACTTTTTTTTAAATAAATGACCTACCAATATCTATCCTCTTTGATGTCTTTAGGGTCCAATTTGTTAAAACATTGAATGACAAGAAGGCACAAGGTGACAATTGTGTCAATCATATCGTGTAAAGGTGAAGGGATATTTTAAAAATTTAAAAATTTGGTTCTGGATACCAGCTCAGAGGAGCAAAGCCTGTTGGGACTCTGTACATGTATGTAATATTGCTGACCAGGTGTTCGGGAGGGGAGCAGCAGCAGCAGACTGTCGGCACCATGTCCAGAAACTAAACAATCTGAGAGGAGAAATAGAACAGGTCACCCTAGAAACGCCTACTGAATCAAGTATCTGTGGGGAACAATCAGAGATACCAGAGACATCACAGACACAGGTGAGAAGGTCTTAAACATAGAAGTGAGAAGTCATGTTGTATCAAATTGTGTTACCAGGGTTAGACACTAGCTGTATTATGGTAGTGTTCCCTTTAAGGAATTGCTCCTTTGGCACAACCTGAGCCTCACAACAGAAGAAGAAGTGGTAATGTGAACGCTGAAAAATGCAAATTGCAGCAAGTGAGGTTTGAGGCATGATCTGTCAGATGTTTTGAAATCCAGATTATCTGTGATGGATCTATTTTAGAGTAATCTTTAGTTGTTAAATATGTAGTAGTTTGCTTTACATATCTTACCAGGTACTGAGTATATTGTCCCCAGGCAATGACACATTTCTAGGTGTTCTTTGAGGCAATGCCAGGAATTGCCACTGATAATCGAGTTTTGAGGAATCGGACATATAATAGTAATAAAAGCTGGGCCCAAGTACGGAGCAACCATGGACCGCTGATCAAGGGTCTCTTACCAAAATTAAGGTGCTTCTGGCCCCCAGTCATACATCAGTCAATGGCTGATTACTCCAACTCTTTTAAAATTTTCATATACCATAGCTAGGTGTATAGGGTCATCTCATTTTGTTCTGGTTTCTCCAGATTGGCGGGGACAGCATTCCATCTATTGACCGCTGGTCACAGTTTGTGACCTCTGAACAGGAGGAAGAAGATGTTGCAGAGGATGGACAATATGATGATCGTTTCACCACAGATATGGCAGAGTTCAGGCAGAAACAGATGACAAGAAAAAGGTTTGTATACCCAAACTGGTCCGCACTGTAAATATTGTGTATAGGTGTAAACAGCAGCCAGTTAATGTGTTGTCGGTGCTGTAGTCGTCACTGAAGTACTAAGGCCAAATAGAAACAAATATGTGTTTCTGCTAACCTTACCTACCCTAGATTTTTGTGTCTACCCTAAAGTTTGTATTGGCCTTTAGTGATATACACTGTTAAAGTAGGAGATCCTGCTCTATATAAGCACGTGAAGATATTTTCCAAAACGAAAAACATTGCCCACATACCTACCCTATTTTTTCTGGGGATGATAGCAGAAACATAACTATTTTTTCTTTGGCCTAAGTATAGACAACTTATGTGTTTAACAATAGCTGTCACTTAACTATATATATAAATGCTGAAGCTATTTATTACACACCATCAGAAAATAGAAAATTCACTCTCCACATTTCGCTCACAGTTTTTGTTTATATCTTTAGTATAGTTTCCTTATATTTATTGACCAAAGATCCATATAAGGGTTTTGACCGTTAAAATAGAAAGGTTTAAACAGTAATGTTATGATTAATAGGTAAATGGACTTGTTCTTGTGAGGTCAATGAGTCACTCAGCTGTTGTCAGTCATGCGTAAACAATCATATTTTAAAGGTCTTATCAGAAATTGTCTGTCAGATTTGGATAAAAGTTGCTGAAAATAACTGATTATATATATACATACTTTATTTATTTTACAACAATTATGAAACACGTTATTTCAACTTATATTAATCTCTCTTGTTGGATGTTAAAACTCACATAGTGGGGCAGGTGACCCAAACCTTGTCAAGTCTGATCGGGGAATCAAACCCCGGCCACCCTGGTGAAAGGCAAGTGCGCTGTCTACTGCACCACCCAATCACCCAAGTAACTGATGATTCCTTGCATTTTTTCAGAAAAAGGAATCAGAAGCATGATGATTATGAAGAGGAATCCTCTGAGCAGTCACAATTTGATAACCGTAGACATCAAAGTCATGCTAGAAGGAGACTATCAAGGATGGATAGTGGTCCTGGAGGGTCATACATCATGGATAGTGGTCCTGGAGGGTCATACATAATGGATAGTGGTCCTGGAGGGTCATACATCAATGTTAGACAAGAAGATGCTGGTCAGTCCCTGATCAATCCTATTATCCAACTTCAGGAAAACAAGTCTCATCTCCAGGGAGGATTCCAGTCCACAAACTCTATAAACTCAGCTAGAAATTACAACAAAGGTCAAGGACATAGGTCAAGTTTGGATGGATACGAAAATGATGCGGATCAATATTTATGTTACAATGAAGATCAAAAAGATGAATTGTTTGAATGTCAGTCAGGTCTGTCAGCTGGCACAGGGCATGGTAATTATCAGGATATAAAGAAAGTTCAGACTTTTAACAGAGGTCAAGGTCATTATCAGGTTATGACTGAAGGTCAAAGTTTAAATAGAGATGGAGGTCATCATCAGGTTCCTACCAAAAGTCAAAGTGTAAATAGAGGTCAAGGTCATCATGATGGTATGAAAAATAATCAGATTGTATCTAAATGGAGTAAGTATGAAGATGAGTCTGATTCAGGTGAAGAGACCTGCACGTTAACAGAACAATATGAAAAGACTAACTTGTCAAAAAAAAATCAAAATGATTGGAATAAGGAAATGAAAAAATCTGCAAGTGATGTTATGTGTGTCCAAAGTAGAGAGGAGAGAAACAGGGAGGACACCGGGACTGTTCTAGACTCCTCTGTCAAGGTAGGAAAACTGAAAGATTTACTAAATAATACAGGTTCATTAACAGAAAAGTTGACTAACCCTGATAGGATGTGGAGACAGAGCCAGCATAAGATGTGGACAGGAGGGGAATTTAGTGAGGGAAGAAAACGTTTAGGTATTGAAGGTAATGACAGGAGATTAAAGGGAGATAACTACAACAGTCTTATTGGCCTAGAGGAGAAACAGGGCAACACTGACTGTCAAGGTAAGGATGGTATAATAAATGGTGGATATTCAAAATGTGTGAGAGACCGACAGCCAGAAGCAGGTTTTAGTGAGGGCACTCACAATTCGTATGTCACAGAACACACATCCAGTGAAGAACTACCTACTGTATCGCCAGTAACTAGGTGTAACCAGGAGAGGTCCAATGTTTCCAAATCTGAACAAAGGATTGGCTTTTCTGGTCATATTTCAAGACCACTGACACAAAAGTCCATTCCTTTGCAGCCTATGTTTGTAACAGAAGATATCACTGATGAGGATTTGGCACTGTAGGAAGTCTCTTTGGTTCTGTTAAGAATCATAGGTCCGTATTCAAACAAACTCTTTTCTAACTCAAATCATGCAAAACAAGTCGAAAAAGTAACATTTAGATATTTAAAACATTAGTTTGCTTCAAGCCTCACCAAAATTTAATCAATAGTTGAAAAATGTGAAATTTGAAAATGAATCACTGAAACAAGGAATTGGGAGTTAGCACAGAATCTGAGTTTGAGCATGAAAACACTTAAATGATGACGGTTCCTGTTCTCATCCTCCAGTCATGTGCCCTTCAGTTTACATTCTGGAGCCCTCTACAGTAATGATCCCCTCTTTCTCTTATTGTTATCCCTTCTCGATTTATGAACTTATCATTATGTCCTATTCTTCTTCTTCTTCTTCTTCTTCTTCTTCTTCTTCTTCTTTTTTTTCCTCTTCTTCTTCTTCCTCTTCAGCCCGAAGCTCAACCCTTCTATTTGCAGTCTTCAGCCCCCTCTTTGGCCCCCTCCTTAAATCCAGACTACTTTTAGTTAAAAGTACTTTTTCTTTTAGTCATCATATCAATTGATTCAGTTAAAAATGTGCATGCTTACATGAAAGTCTGTGTCATTGGCTCTAAGGTCAGATGTGTCGTTGGCTCTAAGGTCAGGTGATCAGTGATATGTCATGTTTTGAGTCCTATTTAGTTTTATTAGCTCACCTGCCCAAGTGAGCTTATGTCATGGTGCGGCGTCTGTCGTCCATCCGTCCGTCCGGCGTCCGGCAACTTTTCCTTAAAACAACAACTTCTTCTGAAGAACGGACAGGCCTAGAGTCAGGATATTTGACTGATGGCTTTGTTGGTAGGAGCCCGACAAAGTTTGAGATCGAAAATGACCTTGACCTACTTTCAAGGTCACAGGGGTCAAATGTGTCAAACACTTCAAACGACTTCTTCTGAAGAACTAAAAGGTATTGAATCTTTATATTTGGCTGGTGGCTTCCTGGGATAGAGCCCGACAAAGTTTAAAAAAGCGAAAATGCCCTTGACCTACTTTCAAGGTCACAGGAGTCAGATATTTTTAATGCTGAAAACGACTTCTGAAGATCTGAAAATTATAGAACCTAAATATTTGGCTTGTAGCTTTCTGGGAAAGAGCCCAACAAAGTTTGAGAATAAAAATGACCTTGACCTACTTTTAAGGTCACATGAGGCAGATATGTCAAACTCTTAAAAAACAACTTCTTCTGAAGAACTAGATGGTATAGAACCTTAATATTTGGCTGGTTATTTCCTGGAAAGGAGCCCAACAAAGTTTGCGAATGAAAATGACCTTGACCTACTTTCAAGGTCACAGGAGTCAGATATGTCTAACACTTACAACAACTTCTTCTGAAGAACTGGACGGTATAGAACCTTAATATTTGGCTGGTTATTTCCTGGGAAAGAGCCAAACAAAGTTTGAGTATGAAAATGACCTTGACTTACTTTCAAGGTCACAGCGTTAAAATATGTCAAAACAGTTCAAACTACGTCTTCTGAAGAATTAAAATTCATAAAATTATAATATTTAGCTGGTGACTTCTTGGAATAGAGCTCACCAAAGTTTGCGAATGAAAATGACCTCAACCTACTTTAGAGGTGTCACAGAGGTCAACAACATTTTAAAGGATTTGTTCTCAAGAACTAAAAGGATTGGGTTCATAAGATTTGGCTGGTAGCATTTTTGAATAGAGCTAACCAATTTGAGAAGGAAAATGACATTAACCTACTTACAAGGTTACAGGGAAAATTATGTCAAGCAACTTCTGAAGAAGAATCAAAAAGCATAGAATCTTATTTTGCTGGTTGTTTCAACAGATGGAGCCAACAAAGTTTGCGAGGGAAATATTTTTAGTGCAATACAATATTTAATGAGAATATTTTGCTATGACTGCTTAAATATTCAGGTGAGTGATACAGGCCCTCTTGGGCCTCTTGTTGTGTTATATCTCAGGAAACCTGTTTGTTAGACTACCTTAAGTCAGCGACATACATACTGGCTTTATATGTCTCTGCTACAGTACACTCCTGTATCCAAGTATAAATATTTGTTTTTGAGACAACCTTCAGTACACTCCTGTATCCCAGTATAAATTTGTTTTTGAGAGACAACCTACAGTACACTCATGTATCCAAGTATAAATATTTGTTTTTGAGACAACCTACAGTACACTCCTGTATCCCAGTATAAATATTTGTTTTTGAGACAACCTACAGTACACTCCTGTATCCCAGTATAAATATTTGTTTTTGAGACAACCTTTAGTACACTCCTGTATCCAAGTATAAATATTTGTTTTTGAGACAACCTACAGTACACCCCTGTATCCCAGTATAAATATTTGTTTGTGAGACAACCTACAGTACACTCGGGTATCCCAATATAAATCAAAGTTGATTTTGGTGCAGTTAATTGTTTCAATAAAATTTCAAATATTTCCAATGATTGGCAAATCCTGTGTTTTATCTTTTCCGTATATCCGTGTCTCTGTGTATAGTGATACGGCCAGTAATACAAAGGGTCTGTGTTTTTGAAATACAGGAATCCAGTAGCCAGAACTCCAACATTGATGTGTATTTTACTACTCCACTGATCAAAGCCTTGGATTTAAATAAGAATGGGCTCTAAATAAGTGAAAACCATAAACGCCGTAATGTGATGGCGTTGTACAGGTAAACATCACAATAAAATTATGACCACCTGAAAAAGGATAATGTTAAATTATGCGGTTGTCCCCCTTTACTTGTGTTGTGCTAGTACAGAAGGTTCCCGACAGGACAAACAAGAATGCCGCCCTGTATACCTGTATCAGGACCCTGACATACCTGCCAACTGTTTTAGAGGGAGACTCGATATTAGACCCTTAAATTGAGCTTTTTCAAACTGGAATTTGATTTACTCTATGGTTCGTGCTTTTAATTCCTAGAACACCCAATTTCCCACATGGAAATTTCAAATAGTTGGCAAGTACACATCTACTTTTTTGTTGATTTAGTTCAGGGGCGGGTCCAGGTGAGGGCGTAATTGGCGTACGCCCCCCTTTTCAAAAAAGACACAAAAAAACCACTATCGTAATCCGCTAATGTTGTATTGAATATGGCAATTTATCATATTCATTAATTAAACACATAGATACCCTGACGCCTTAACTATAAAATATACATGCTCCAAGTCAGGAACCGTTACATAAGTGCATTTCACAATTAATTTATGTTTTTTAGCAAAAAAATGGTCCAAATTTTGTTTTTCCTTGCTCCGCTCGACGAAAGATTAGATTAGACGCCCCCGCTTTCAAATATACTAGAAACGCCCCTGTAGATATACATGTATACATGCTTACAGATGTACTGACATTAGAATGTATACTTATCAAAACCTTGATTGAAAAAAGCATGGCCAATCGAACGCTGTCTGGTCACCACACAGAACCCTAGCCAATGAACACGTGACAAAATCAAGACCACGAAAACATGTTGACCAGATGAACCCTTGGTGCAAAGAAAATCGGACCAAACAGAGTACTGACAGAATTTTGATAAAGCAGGCCAGACAATTATTTTATATATCATCTGCGAAAATACACCAGAGGTGGTATGTAGATTATTGGAAGAAGAAGAAGATACGTACACATGTGTACGTCTCTGATCAGGCAAACGACACCCTGGACAACGAAGCAACTGAACACGCCCTGGGATAGGCGATACAACCACTAAACCGTAATCATGCATTACTGTTATTTCTGGTGGTGGGGTTAGGATTGTGTGGATGTCGACTACATTTTGCAGGACGTCTTGTAACAAAAGTCCCGTTCAATCGCTATTTCAGATTTATTCGGAAATCAGATTTCACAAAATGTCCATGTAAGAAGTTACCACTAAAAGTCGATCTAAACCCTAAAACATGTTAGAATTACTATAAACACCTTAGTTTAGGTCCAAATACATCCTCGATTTCCAAGGGGTTACGCTCACGTTCGCTCTCTACACCCCTGGAATACATCAAAATAATCTCGCAGTCACGTAACGGTAAAAGTTGATAGGCGGGCGTCTCTCCTTTGTAATCTTCAAAGGTCAGGTATCAGCCTAGCGATTGGTCAGTGGTTTTTTTTTTACCTGAGACCGATCAAACAGATTTTTTCGTGTCTTCAATTTCCCAGGGGTGTAGAGANTCCTTTGTAATCTTCAAAGGTCAGGTATCAGCCTAGCGATTGGTCATTGTGGGTTTTTTTACCTGAGACCGATCAAACAGATTTTTTCGTGTCTTCAATTTCCCAGGGCTGTAGAGAGCGAAAGTGAGCGTAACCTCTAGTATCGAGGATGGTCCAAATACAGCTGTAACCTATTCTCAGGTCCCTGCGAGAGGCACCAGACACGTGACTACATCTGTTTGTGGTCTAGGTGATTACAGACACGTATCATATATAATTTAATTTACACCGCATAACAGGGTCGTTTCTTTGATATATGTACACATACTTACTTCTGGCTGTACTTATACAATTTTCCAGTCGGTTGCACTGTATGTTGATGACTTGGGTGTAGGACATTTTCGCGATAACGTATACTTGCCCCGCAAATACGACCGGCCATACGGCATCATACACAGAGATTGAATAAAACAAATTTACAGGTAACTTAATTACAGCTCGGCAAAGCGACTCTCGGAATTGAAATTTTAGTTTACACTTCTCTGTACGTTATACAAGAAAATATTTCTGGTGTCATGCATACGTGATTTATGAATTTGTAACGTGTTCCTGACGCGTCAACACTACATCCTCTGTTGTAACATAGTTCGTATTACAAGTCCAAATCGAAAAATATATGTGTTTCGGGTAATATGCGTGACAAAAATTGGGATGTCGGTAAAAATAAGGCAAACAATGTTATTTCAATTTTTTTCATGGATCGGTATTATGCTTTATATCAAATTTTGCAATGCATTTCTACATATTACAATGGTTATTAATGTAACAGGGGTCATTGTTTTAAATGCCTCCATCAGGAGTCAAACCGAGGACCTCTGGATTTCTAGTCTCTACCGAATGAGTCGAAGAGAAATGCTCCCTAGCCGAGTTGTTAGGAAGCGGCTAGTATTATATCTAGAATATTAATGGGGTTGCCTGGCTCCCAAAACAGGAAGAAAGTGCATTTAAATGAGTGACTTAATCTTGGATACAAGCAGATGATAAAATGATCGAGAGTCGACAGGAACATCTATGGGAGGAAGAGATACACGCAACACAAATTGGTTTGCCTTACCACTAAAAGAGTGCTAAATTTCACTGTCGTTATCTGAAAGAAATTATCATAATAACAATTCAATTTGTGACAATGATCGTATATACCCAGTATCACAGTCTGCATCTATACACACTTATAAATATGTAGACATAAACATGCTACTTTCAGTCGGGGCTAAGGCTTTTATTTTTTGATAGTTCATTTGAATTCTGTGAAAAGATTGGCGTCTGTCCTCGCGATCGGATAGCTGTTTACGAGGAGGAGATCTTGATATTGTTATTTTCCCAACATGCAATTTTTATGCTCGCAAAATTGGATGAGGCTGAGATATACCCTCCGATAGGTTTATTAAAATGACGGCAGTAACGGACGATATTAAACTATATATGTAGTGTATTTAATACAGCGACAATGACAGTAACTAACGGAAGGATTTTAAATCTTTATTTATTTGATGTAGCAATAGTAGAAGACAGGAACGGGAGGTATTGGAATTTTTCTCTAGTGTATTTGATGGGGCGATCTTTTCTGGTTGCCGATTTGAATGTTTCGGCAATAAAGTCCTCTTTTCCTCAAGATAAAACACTTTGTTGTTACATGAAGAATGGATTGTTTCCGACACCCCATTTTAGGGATCTCTGGCCCATTGCACTGTATATTTTTCATATATACAGTAACTTCCCTTTAATTTCGTTTTGGATATAACAGTAGCACAGTTTCGCCTGGACGACCCCGTTCACTATTCCGTCTTTTCGTATTGCAGAGTTATCTGCTCTTGTGAGCAGGTATTGATTGTTACGTCCTTTGTTTGTGAGAGTAGCGTCATACATTTTTGAGAAAACTGCGTAATTTTCTCACATAAACTAATGACGTAACAATCAATACCTGCTCACAAGAGCAGATAACTCTGCAATACGAAAAGACGGAATATAGCTCAATCGAACCCCGGTCTGGTCCCGCTGAAATTTTACAATCGGAACGCTATTGTTGATTAGTCTTTTGTTTACTTCTGTTGTATGTTTTCTCCCCAAAAGTGCCGCAAGGTACGGTCTTCTGAAATTATTTATCAAAGTTAAAATAATCCCAGTTTCCGATGCGAAGTTAGTTTTTGGCAGTGATGCGAGGATCCTTAACATAATGATGTAACCTCTATCCAGAGTTATCGTTCCTGATAAATGTGTATAAGGGGCGATAACTCTGGGTAGTAATTTATAATAATGANAAGTGGACATGAACTGCTCCTCCGGCAAAAATTGAAAATGTCAGACAATCAGATGACTTAACTATTTTTCATGCAAATCGCAAAGTTGTATTTTGGTATACCCTGCGACGTTCGTCCGTTAAAACCCCGCACGTCGGGGATCCATAGCATGTATAGTACATGTAAGAGGCGGCTTATGTGGGGAAACCCCCCTACAGTTTTTCTGTCTGTTTCTAAAAGCCTCTTATTTCCAAGCGCCATATGTCAATATGAAGGAACCATAAATCTGATTGGATACACAACATAAATCCCGTTACGCATTATCGTTCAAACTATTCTATCAAGATATGTCTTTAAATAGATACAGGAGAGTGATGTTAAGGTGGCGCACACCGAGCCTTCAATTTTGCTATGACATATTCCAGGATTGTATAGAGCTAAAGTGAGCGTAACCCTGAATATCGAGGATGCCACCTTGTTTGAGACAAGAATACTAGTTCGATCCTTTGATGTACATCAAAGGAATCTCGCGGTCACGTAACAGTAAAAATTGACAGGCTTTGAAGTCGAGTGTCGATCTTTTGTAATCTTCAAACGACAGGTATCAGCCTAGCGATTGGTCAGTATTTTTTACCTGAGACCAATCAAATCTCTACCTTCGTGCCTTCAATTTTTCTATGACATATTACAGGGGTGGAGAGAGCGAAAGTCAGCGTGACTCCTGGATATCGAGGATGACTAAGAACATACTAAGCTACGGTTATGGAATTGATATAAAGGCGGAAACAAGATACAATCTGGGCAAAGCAACACTCCGGTATCACAGGTTTTGCGAGTGTAGGTGAAATGAAAACGAAATGCTACATTCAACCTTACCGAAATAAATGAGCTAAACAAGTTAAACTTAATTTGATATCTAGTGCTCTTTGTAATACACGCGTAAGGAACAGAGTAGTGCACAAGACAAAGACTCCCGTTAACTCCCGTGCACTATGATGTTACTTCAAGTGCAATACAATGCTGGAGGCACGGTAGTCTAGTGGTAGGACTATCACNGGCAATGCCTGTGCCTAATCCAATTGTATCTTTTTGAATACAATAAAATTGATTTGAAATGAAATGAAAATAATAATGAAGAAGAGGAATTTTTCTTCTCTGACAGCATTAAGGTACTGATAATGGCATGGTTTATGATTAAGTTCCTTTTAGACCGACGCATTCTACCCAGTGGTTTATGTAAATAATTTTACAGATATGTGCACACTTATTTCATACACAATCAAACTTTGTGATAAGTGGACATGAACTGCTCCTCCGGCAAAAATTGAAAATGTCAGACAATCAGATGACTTAACTATTTTTCATGCAAATCGCAAAGTTGTATTTTGGTATACCCTGCGACGTTCGTCCGTTAAAACCCCGCACGTCGGGGATCCATAGCATGTATAGTACATGTAAGAGGCGGCTTATGTGGGGAAACCCCCCTGCAGTTTTTCTCTCTGTTTCTAAAAGCCTCTTATTTCCAAGCGCCATATGCCAATATGAAGGAACCATAAATCTGAATGGATACACATCTTAAATCCAGTAACGCATTATCGTTCAAACTATTTTATCAAGATATGTCTTTAAATAAATACAGGAGAGTGATGTTAAGGTGGCGCACACCGAGCCTTCAATTTTGCTATGACATATTCCAGGATTGTAGAGAGCGAAAGTGAGCGTAACCCCTGAATATCGAGGATGCCACCTTGTTGATGAGACAAGAAGACTAGTTCGATCCTTTGATGTACATCAAAATAATCTCGCGGTCACGTAACGGTAAAAATTGACAGGCTTTGAAGGCGGGCATCGCTCCTTTGTTATCTTCAGAGGACAGATATCGGCATAGCGATTGGTCAGTATTTTTTACCTGAGACCAATCAAATCTCGACCTTCGTGCCTTCAATTTTCCTATGACATATCCCAGGGGTGCAGTGAGTGAAAATCGGCGTAACGCCTGGATAACGAGGATGGTTCTTATTTGGTGATGTTATAATATATTGGCGAGGAGAGGGAACCTTATACTGAGGTTTGGAATTTTTCAGTAGCATGGTGAGCGGTGATATTCATACAACCTTCAGTTGGAAGGTGAGTTGTGGTATTCACGCTACCATCAGTAGGAAGGTGAGCGGTGATATTCACACAACCTTCAGTAGGGAGGTGAGAGGTGGTATTCAAACTACCATCAGTAGGAAGGTGAGCGGTGATAATCATACAACCTTCAGTAGGAAGGTAAGCGGTGATATTCACGCTACCATCACTAGCAAGGTGAGCGGTGGTATTCACGCTACCATCACTAGGAAGGTTAGCGGTGATATTCACGCTACCATCACTAGGAAGGTGAGCGGTGGTATTCACGCTACCATCAGTAGGAAGGTGAGCGGTGATATTCATACAACCTTCAGTAGGAAGGTGAGCGGTGGTATTCATGCTACCATCAGTAGGAAGGATAGTGGTGGTATTCACACAACCTTCAGTAGCATAGTGAGAGGTGGTTTTCACACTACCATCAGTAGGAAGGTGAGCAGTGATATTCATACAACCTTCAGTAGGAAGGTGAGCGGTGGTATTCACGCTACCATCAGTAGGAAGGTTAGTGGTGGTATTCACACAACCTTCAGTAGGGAGGTGCGAGGTGGTATTCCGCTACCATCAGTAGGAAGGTTAGTGGTGGTATTCACACAACCTTCAGTTGCATAGTGAGAGATGGTATTCACACTACCATCAGTAGGAAGGTTAGCGGTGATATTCACACAATCTTCAATCGGAAGGTTAGCGATAGTATTAACACAGCCTTCAGTAGGAAAGTTAGTGGTGATATTCACACAACCTTCATAAACAGGGTGAGCGGTGATATTCACACAACCTTCAGTAGGAAGGTGAGCGATGGTATTCACACAACTTTCAGTAGGAAGATGAGTGGTGGTATTCACACAACCTTCAGTAGGAAGGTTAGTGTTAGTGGTGATATTCACACAACCTTCAGTAGGAAGGTAAGTGTTTATATTTTCACACAAACTTCAGTAGGGGGGTGAGAGGTGGTATTCACACAACCATCAGTAGGAAGGTTGGCGGTGATATTCACACAACTTTCAGTAGGAAGGTGAGTGGTGGAATTCACACAACCTTCAGTAGGAAGGTTAGTGGTGATATTCACACAACCTTCAATCGGAAGGTTAGCGATAGTATTAACACAGCCTTCAGTAGGAAGGTTAGTGGTAATATTCACACAACCTTCATAAACATGGTGAGCGATGATATTCACAAAACCTTCAGAAGGAAGGTGAGAGGTGGTATTCACACAACTTTCAGTAGGAAGGTGAGTGGTAGAATTCACACAACCTTCAATAGGAAGGTGAGCGGTGGTATTCACGCTACCATCACTAGGAATGTGCGAGGTGGTATTCACACAACTTTCAGTAGGAAGGTGAGTGGTGGAAATCACACAATCTTCAGTAGAAAGGTGAGCGGTGGTATTCACGCTACCATCACTAGGAAGGTGCGAGGTGGTATTCACACAACCTTCTGTAGCATAGTGAGAGGTGGTTTTCACACTACCATCAGTAGGAAGGTGAGAGGTGGGATTCACACTACCTTCAGTAGGAAGGAGAGAGGTGGTATTCACACAACCATCAGTAGGAAGGTAAGCGATGGTATTCACACAACCTTCAGAAGGAAGGTGAGAGGGGGTATTTACACAACTTTCAGTAGGAAGGGGAGCGGTGATATTCATACAACCTTCAGAAGGAAGGTGAGAGGTGATATTCACACAGCCTTCAGTCGGAAGGCTAGCGATAGTATTAACACAGCCTTCAGTAGGAAGGATACTGGTGATATTCACACAATCTTCAGTAGAAAGGGGAGCGGTGGTATTCACGCTACCATCAGTAGGAAGGTGAGAGGGGGTATTTACACAACTTTCAGTAGGAAGGTGAGAGGTGGTATTCACACTACCTTCAGTAGGAAGGTGAGCTGTGGTATTCACACAACCTTCAGTAGGAAGGTTATTGGTTATATTCACACAACCTTCAGTAGGAAGGTAAGCGATGGTATTCACACAACCTTCAGTAGGAAGGTGAGCGGTGGTATTCACGCTACCATCAGTAGGAAGGTGAGCGGTGATATTCACACAGCCTTCAGTCGGAAGGCTAGCGATAGTATTAACACAGACTCCAGTAGGAAGGTGAGCGGTGGTATTCACACAGCCTTCAGTAGGAAGGTGAGCGGTGGTATTCACACAGCCTTCAGTAGGAAGGTGAGCGGTGGTATTCACACTACCTTCAGTAGGGAGGGGAGAGGTGGTATTCACACTACCATCAGTAGGAAGGTGAGCAGTGATATTCATACAACCTTCAGTAGGAAGGTGAGCGGTGGTATTCCACACAACCTTCAGTAGGAAGGTTATTGGTTATATTCACACAACCTTCAGTAGGAAGGTAAGCGATGGTATTCACACAACCTTCAGTAGGAAGGTGAGAGGTGGTATTCACACAACTTTCAGTAGGAATGTGAGTGGTGGAATTCACACAACCTTCAGTAGGAAGGTAAGTGTTTATATATTCACACAAACTTCAGTAGGGGGGTGAGAGGTGGTATTCACACTACCATCAGTAGGAAGGTTAGCGGTGATATTCACGCTACTGGTATTCACACAACCTTCATTAGGAAGGTGAGAGGTGGTATTCACACAACTTTCAGTAGGAATGTGAGTGGTGGAATTCACACAACCTTCAGTAGGAAGGTAAGTGTTTATATATTCACACAAACTTCAGTAGGGGGGTGAGAGGTGGTATTCACACAACCATCAGTAGGAAGGTTATTGGTTATATTCACACAACCTTCAGTAGGAAGGTAAGCGATGGTATTCACACAACCTTCAGTAGGAAGGTTATTGGTTATATTCACACAACCTTCAGTAGGAAGGTAAGCGATGGTATTCACACAACCTTCAGTAGGAAGGTGAGCGGTGGTATTCCACACAACCTTCAGTAGGAAGGTTAATGGTGATATTCACACAACCTTCAGTAGGAAGCTAAGCGATGGTATTCATACAACCTTCAGTAGAAAGGTGGACGGTTGTATTTACACAACCTTCAGTAAGAAGGTGAGCGGTGGTATTCACACAGACATCAGTAGGATGGTGAGCGGTGATATTCACTCAACCTTCAGTAGGAAGGTAAGCGATGGTATTCACACAACCTTCAATAGGAAGATGAGCGGTGGTATTCACACAGACATCAGTAGGATGGTGAGCGGTGATATTCACCCAACTTTCAGTAGGAAGGTGAGAGGGGGTATTCACACAACCTTCAGTAGAAAAATGAGCGGTGGTATTCACACAGCCTTCAGTCGGAAGGCTAGCAATAGTATTAACACAGCCTCCAGTAGGACGGTGAGCGGTGGTATTCACGCTACCATCAGTAGGAAGGTTAGCGGTGATATTCACACAGCCTTCAGTAGGAAGGTGAGAGGTGATATTCACACTACCTTCAGTAGGAAGGTTAGCGGTGATATTCACGCTACCTTCAGTAGGAAGGTTAGCGGTGATATTCACGCTACCATCACTAGGAAGGTGAGCGGTGATATTCACACTACCTTCAGTAGAAAGGTGAGCGGTGATATTCACACTACCTTCAGTAGGAAGGTGGACGGTTGTATTCACACAGCCTTCAGTCGGAAGGTTAGCGATAGTATTCCGGTTGTATTTACACAACCTTCAGTAGGAAGGTGACTGGTGATACTCACACAATCTTCAGTCGGAAGGTTAGCGATAGTATTCACACAGCCTTCAGTAGGAAGGTGAGCGGTGGTATTCACACAACCTTCAGTAGGAAAATGAGCGGGGGTATTCACACTACCCTCAGTAGGGAGGTGAGAGGTGGTATTCACACTACCATCAGTAGGAAGGCTAGCGGTGATATTCACACAGCCCTCAGTCGGAAGGCTAGCGATAGTATTAACACAGCCTTCAGTAGGAAGGTGAGAGGTGATATTCACACTACCTTCAGTAGGAAGGTGGACGGTTGTATTCACACAGCCTTCAGTCGGAAGGTTAGCGATAGTATTCACACAGCCTTCAGTAGGAAGGTGAGCGGGGGTATTCACACAACCTTCAGTAGGAAGGGGAGCGGCGGTAGTCACACAACCTTCAGTAGGAAGGTTTGTGTTGATATTCACACAACCTTCAGTAGGAAGGTGAGCGGTGATATTCACACAAACATCAATGGGAGGTGAGAGGTGGTATTCACACAACCTTCAGTAGGAAGGTGAGCGGTGGCATTCACACTACCTTCAGTAGGGTGGTGAGCGGTGGTATTCACACTACCTTCAGTAGGAAGGTTAGTGGTGATATTCACACATCATTTTTAGAAAGTGAGCGGCGGTTTAGTAGACATATATACATGAATGTCCTTGCCCCGCGTTCTACAGTTGTTTACCTTGTAAGCAAAACACTGACAGCCACCAGACTGGAACAGCGGGTGTGTTTTTGTTCTGTAATGACTGTTACGGCGTTTAATGACAATTACACTTATCTATCGACAAGCAAGCCCCCAACTATTCTATTATAATCAGCTAGTTTCATTTTGTGTACTTAAATTTCGTTTATAATACAACATAGATAAATCCAATAGAAGTGCAATGTGATGATTCAGGTATTTTTTGCCTGTGTTCACTCATGCAGATATAGAAATGAAAATTTAAAAATCCGGAACCTAACAAGCCAGCGTTGTGCTGTATTAAGCCGACCTAATACACCGCCAGCCTGTCAGACGGGTTGTTCACATTCGCCGGAGCGTCCACAGGTTACAGTAGATATACGTTTTAGAGAGCGTTTTGCCATTCGAGAGAAATTCAACATGTTGACACAATATGTTCTGAACGCAGAAGCGAAATGGAAGGTGGTTTTTGAAGACATTATGCGCTGTCGAGAACCGCAGTCTCAATCAGGTGGTCCTGCTGGCTTCACACTCGAAGAGTTCCGAAAATATATTAGAGAATTCTTAAGAAAGAAAGACGTTTCAGATGTTGAAATCAAGGTGAGTAGACGTTTATTATCGATGTATAGTGGAGGATGTTTAACGCCTGCGCTTGTGACAGTGCTTCTATCACTTCACTGGGACGAGTTTGTCGATCAATTCACTTACCTATATGGGCGTGACTGTTAATCGCATCGCTTACCTAGGGACGAGATTGTACTTCGTGCAAGATTGTCAACCCCCCTCACTGCACTTTTGTGATATTGCAACGATTCACTATCGGTGCCAACCGCGTAATCTAACAGTGACGAAGTGACTATCATGATGCATGTCGATCGCTCCACAATTAATACGTTATGGTCTCTATGGCAACGATGCCATATAGTTTACTGAGACTTGTTTGTCGATCTTATTCATGGATAACGACGTGATACGTTGACACGAGTTTAACTAATGTGTCATTTTACTTTGACAAGTTTGTAGATAATATAATTTTACTGGAACGAGTTTGTGTTGTGTAAAAAATATGTTCTGGTTTCCCTCATTGCAAACTTCTCAGATGACGTCATTGTTTGCATTTGTTTTTTATGTGTGTTTATTTATAGAATGCTCATTTCATCTTTCCATCACACATTTTTTTATATTCCCTAGGTAATATTCTTACCTATTCCATCCTTTCTGACCTTTCAAAGAAATTAATGGATGAACGCTCGGGGCAAAGGGAGTCATTTTTTAATCATCTTACATACAAATATTCCGAAACGATGTATACTATAGACAGCAAAGAAGGAGGCCAGGCGTCCAGCTGGGGTCCCTGTAAGTTTGAACGTTAATCATTTAAATTTCGTGATACTGTAATACACCTAAGGTATTTTGGTTTGAGAAATAGACGCTTTCCACCCCATGCTCCAGTGATATGGATTACGTACTCCAGGCACGTATCGGTTTACTACTAACACGAAAGCTTCGTCATTGTAACTTTTACAGATGCGTGCATTTGTGTTTTTCACAACGATTTTTGATCAAATCTAATCGCTAAATCAAATCGAGCTCTTTTGGCCAAGCACAGTGTTTCGCGCACTGTAGAGAAACGTGCACACAGCGGAGTTTATATACGGTATATTTGTAACATTTTGGTTTAAGTTCAGCACTCCCCACACTTCCCTTATCGAACCGTGATATATTCGCTACCCTGCGTTGGATTAATTCGCAACTAGGCGTTAATATTCAGCTATAGAAACCTATTGAGAATATATGCTAATATCAACGAACTCCCGACAGATACGGTGATGTTATACTATGTAATCATACCTGTCCCACCACGGGACGAGATATACGAAGTTTATTACAGGTACGGTACCACTATATTATGTACCAGGCCTGAATTCCCTCAGGATTTACATTCTTACATATCAATGGGTTGTTTATATTACTACAGATCAACAGGGTTTCCCTCAGGTGTATTTTATTATACTCGGTTTATATGGAAAACCATATTTCTTCCCAAGTGTTGGGTAACGTTTGTTCTAGTGTAATTTATTGTTTTACGGTCAATCGACAATTTCATTAGGGAACCGTCGGCACTTTTCATAAACGAGAAAATTGAGTATTTTTCTCCACTTGTCAGGACTCGGCAGATTCCGTACTAAGGGTGTCGGAATCAGCCGAGGTTAGCCTATTGTGTGTTTTCTCGTTTACGGACAGTGCCGACGGTTCCCGATTAAAATTGTGGATGGACCGATTGCGGCAATTTCATTTTTGAAGTCGTGCAAATTTACACTTCAGTTTTGCAGTGAATAAACATTGATTATACATTAAAATTAACGTTGCAAACCGGAACAAAAAAAATGTAAGTTTTCTAATCATCCTTGTGTATAATGATTATACACAGGTACTTAAAGAAGTTAAGTTTCTGTACGTTTTCAAACCAATTAGCAATACCCAAACATTTAAATGCGGACCTGTCTTCCCTAAATTCCCCACTAATCAGATCTGCGGAATGGTACCTGTACAATTCGGAACAATTCGTCCTTCCCCGTCGCATGTACGGAAATAGCCGAGCGTGGTCCGGTTGGATATGTGTGGGAAAATATATGCTCTACGTTTTTAAGTCGATGTTCCTATATTTTATAGGGTTGCTCGATATCAACAACATAAACGTATTCTAATTCTTAACAACAATCAGCATCAAAGTCAAAATAACTTGGGGCAACCTCAACATCTGTATTGGTGTTTGTGTTATGGAAATCGCGAATGTTCCAAGTTTTACGATAAATTTATAATGCTACACTCGCCAGAGGCTGGTAGTCGGAAAACTTACACAATTCGATTGGTATCTCTACCAGTTGACCTCTCTGTCTGTCTAACCACGAATTATATTTAGTCTGTGGTCTAACCTATAGGATATACACGTCCGTGTGAGGTTTGTGTTAGATCCGGAGTCGTTAAATGTCCACCTTTAACCATCAACATTTAAAGCCTCGTACGTCCCCACACAAAACTGTCATCGTTATAGAGCGATACGGTAATAACACAGGGGCATGAGAACTCAATATAGCTATGTTTTGCTCTAAAGAGGTGTGTTCAGAGTGATATTAGATGTTTTTTGGGTTTAGATCATCTCCCAGTAAAAAGGCCACCCAATGTTATGTATATACCATCATTGAAAGTGTCCTTTTTGGTAAATAACCAAGAATTTATCCTAACGCGTAGTATAATTTTTACGTCCGATATTACTCTGAAAACATCAATTTAGGCCTGTTTACGCGGAACAACCGGTTTGTCTGTTTTTAAAGGTAACATTTTCGGGTATAAACCCTGGCGGACCTGCCAATTTCTATACAGGCATTGCAACGCTTTGGCAAAGCTCGCCAGAAAGCAGCATCAGATTACTATGTCCGACCTTATTTAATAAACGAACAACTGTGGTCCAACCGGTTTGACCGTTCATAGGGCCTGCTCGTTTATGCGGGTGTCTGTTTTTAAAGGTTACATTTTCGGGTATAAATCCTGGCGGACCTGTAAATGTTTATGCAGGCCTTGATAGCAGCATAAGGTGACCAGCTCCTACCTTGTTACTCTGGTCCAACAGTTTCGCCATAAACGAAAGTGGCCATAGCTATATGCTTTGGCAAATTCTCAGGTCCCTGTCTGTGACCACCCAAATGTTTTCATATGAAACGCAGACCACCGGATTAAAGGTACCTAAATATTTATGTTTGAGGCATAATAAATAAAATGTTTCCCTTGTCAGATGTAGTGCCTAACCGGACATAGGTAATTTATATAACAAAGAAAGTGTAAGATAACAATACTTTATGTTATCGAACCCATCTGCTACCGGTTTGCGCCTATTCATTCCTAGCTATGTTAGCTTAACGATACCTCGAACAAATTGCATCAGATTTCAGTTGTTTTAAATCAAATGCAAAACAGGGATTTGTTGTAATCGAAAATTATTCATAACCGAATTGCGCAGGTATGACTGCAATGGAAAACGAAAACTTGCATATTCTGACGATTTACCTGGTTGAGATATGCAAATATAAAGTTTATTCAGTTTCGTACAACAAATACAGGTATGGCGTGACGTAACGCTGAGTCAATAGGTAGACGAATCGGTGTGAGACTAGAACTAAATATTGTAGTGTACGCCTACTACAAAATGTAGCCTACCTGTACGAGTAATAAGGACCACGTATTCGACCTTGTCACACTTGCTATACTTTTGCCTTACCCATTAAAATGAATGTTATACTCTTGCCTTACCCATTAAAATGAATGTTATACTCTCGCCTTACCCATTAAAATGAATGTTATACTTTTGCCTTAACCATTAAAATGAATGTTATATTTTTGCCTTACCCATTAAAATGAATGTGCAATATGTTAGTTACTGACCATTAAGAACATTTCTAATTTTTCACAAACCGTATTGTATACTTGTGTTTTACGGCGATTCTTTTTTTTTCGTTTTGGAAATGTGCAGTTTTCGACGAACAATTTTTAAATGTTAAGGGAGAGAAAAATCATCGTTTGGGTAGGGGTGGGGGATCTTTACTTCACGTGGAACAAGATTTCTTTTCTCACGCTTACGTTATAGTTCACTAAGCCGACGAAGGTGGCCTACGGTATACATTTATATCAATCGTCAGATAATCTGATGCCTCTCCCGATAGTGTTAAATTAATGTTACTGATTTTCTGGTTCAGTTCCCCAACCTTTTTTTTATATATATATATGGTAATATAAGGCTGGTCGCCATGTTATGTCGAATGTGTATATTTACAAGTAAAATACCATTAACTGTCCGAGTGTTTATATCTAAGACGGTAAGAAGTTAAGGAATCAATTTTAACTGTTTTACGGAGGGGGGATTAAACCCTATCTAGTTGTATGGAATAGGAGATGGAAACTTTCTAATCGAACACAAATCCTAAAAGTGTGTGTGAAATTCCGGTCAGATTACATGGTGTTGTTGCCATACGGAAACATACACTATATTGACAGTCTCTATACAAGGGAGGGAACTCTGCAAATAGGTTATCTTAAAGAACATTTTGGATTTTTTTATCGAACCTTACCTTTCTGGTCCATAGGTTATAGACTCAGCTATCAAATATCCCTTCCCTCGAGCTCTCTACCACTCTGTGAGCCGACGCCCTATCGACTACAGCAAGCGGCACTATAGCAATCTGATTAAAATCATCTGTTACATGGCTCCGCCTGAACATCTGAATGTGCCGCGGTCAGGGTCACGTTCAGATGACCTTAAGATGAACCAATAAGAGGCGCGCTGGCAAAAGTTTGCCAGGGATTGAACAGATCAGTTTTCCAAAACAAATATGGTGGCGGGAACTGACGTTTCTACGACGCCAAGGAAAACGTACCCATTGGGTAATAATTGCGTAGGCAACACCGCCATACAGCCTTTCTTCTCTAATAAAGCTTCGAATATCTTTTTCTGTTCGGGTTTCAGACAATCAATCTCAAATAACTTCAGAACTTTCGCATCATTCTCATCAATGTCCTCCATATTTGTTAAAATTCCGAGCGCCCTTTTGAAAGAGGGTCTCTGATTGGTCAAAATTTAATGAGTATTTATTAATATAAAGGTCACCTGAACGTGACCCTGACCGCGGCACACTCAGA